AGGTCAAAAAATAGTACCTTGATTTTTTCTAAGCTGACTCATCACTCATCACAGACATTTACAATATGAAAATATTTTCATTCTTTAATTTCATATCAGATAATAATTCTCTGAAATAATCTTGATTTTTTTTGTTATTTTTTCAAAATCACTACTCCGTGACGTCATACTGCCGCGGTAATCAGGTTTAGGCATACGTACGTCTGTAATAAATAGTTCTGGTATGAAAACCCTTCTACATAATAACTTTATCAATAATTTTTTAACAAAAAGCATAAATGAAAATTTATAAGTAAATGCTTGAATTAGGTGGCAAATATTCTTTATTATTTTTGATAACAATTTTCCAATTACTACGCAGCGACAAACTGTTTATGACGGGTCATTAAATAGAACGTTGCAACACCGTAGTCTCAATATCATGCAGGTAGGTAATAGGTAATAGGTAGTATATTTGTCCAAAGGTTGTAACTCAAACAGACATATTTTGTTGGTGCGAAACGGTTGTAACTTAAGTTACAACCGTTTCGCACCAACATTTTGATAATATTTCAAATAAATCCTAGTGCAAAACAGTTGTATCTCAATATCTTATATCATATTCTGTGAAATATTTAGTGGATTATTTCTTTCAAACTAATTGACAAGTTTATAAAACAGTAGAAAATAGAGAAAAACAGAATCCCTAAAGAAAGTCCAACACAACAAAATTGAAAATGTTGCAGGCTCGGTTTGATTGAGCCTGTTCATGGACGGTACTGGAAAGTGCAAGTTACTGTCCACGCCCCCTAGCACCGGCTTATATAAATATAGAAAAGTCATATTCAGATGCTTAAACATTTAGTACATTTTTTCTTGGATGACTGGGAATGTGAAAGAGAAAGAACATCAAAACAATCGGCAATCTGATTTATACTCTCATACAAATCTGACAGCTTTGTGTTTCGATGCTTTTTTAATTACTAAATGTTAAAATAACTTAAAGAAATTATACAATTATTACTCAATTCTTGATTTGGTTTTAAACTTACATGAATTACTTTTATCACTTACATGTATAATACTATTGGAATATTTTCATGTCTTGTCAAAGACAAATTGCATAAATATTGTATCACAAATATCTGCTGATTGGACAAAAGAAAAAGACATAAAGACTTTCCGTCAACAGTATGATGTATGGTTGAATTACACAGATAAACAGGCTACATGTAGGTCTAGCTTAAAGCTACATTAAATAAATATTTTAAAAATATTTTGTCGTCGGCCTAAAAATCAAGCATTCTACAGTTTTATAAACATGTTTAACAGTATTGTTGTAAATCTCATCAAATATTGTTCATAAATTAGGATTTTAAACAGAAACCCCCACGGTAACACTAAAGTTCATTTTAGTTGTCTGGAAACTAAAATAATACCTGGTATCGATATGAAACCCAATTTAATAATGAAATGTCGCTACTTAGATTTTTATGAAATTTATTAAATGTAGCTTTAATACAAGTTACATAGGTCTATTATTTAAGAAATAATGTATCACAAACTGTGATTTTATCGCTCAATAAAATCACTGTTTGGAGTCGGATGTGTGGAATTACGAGGGCGTAGCCCAAGTGATATAATGATGCACATTCAACAAACAGTGATTTTATCAAGTGATTCCAAGCGATTTGCATATATATTATTTTGATTCTAACACGACATCAACAAATAAAATTTTAATGCTGCCGTACCTTATATTTATCTAAATTGCGCCTGATTTGTTTTCATACTCATTTTCAGCACGTCACATTTTTAGTGGCTACTTTGCGTGTATAATGTCTACGTCACATGCCTTAATATAGAATGTCAAACACTGATTTTATTGCATAATAACGCACACTTTCGGTTTTGCTATGTTCAATAGGGAAAAATGCGGGTCATGTTAAAATATTAAGTAAAATATGTTATTGACCCTTTGTTTTCTGTAAGATAAAAGTAAATTATCAGATATATTCTATCTGCTATTTAAAATCATTCATAAAGATATTAATCACTTCCTCAGCTGTATGTGCGTTTGTGTGCACACCTGTGAATTTTATTGGGGTCACAGGGGATTGCATTTTGTAATTGTTATTATTTGCAGGCCTTATTTTTTTCTCATTTAATTACTGACTGATTCAGGCTGGACTGATTTATATAATTATAAACAATGAAATTTGGGACTGTAAAGAGTTGTAAGAATAGCATGAGCTTAGAAGCTTAGAACATCTATAATATTTATCATCTTTCTCATACTTTTGGCTTAATAGCAAAGAAGATCCAGGACCTGGATAATGCTTAAATATATAGAATTTATACACAAAAGCACATCCTAGGCATTATCTAAGTTTTCAAATTAAGAAAAGCCTATGTATAGAATAGATGGAAAATAAAATAAGAGTTAAATTCTCATTTTCAAAAGGCTTATATTAAGAAAAATAAATGTGTCTTAGATGGTTTTGTCATTATAAATGTAAGTTCACATTTTGAATTGCGAACAATTTACCTTTGATTCTTGCAAAAACATACATGTTAATGCATATTTGGTACTTATCATGGGTTTGACAATCTGAACTGAGTGTCACATAGAAAAAAATATTATATATAAAGTGAATTTCTTTAAAAAAAAATCATTTGACTGAAATTGTATTTTAAAAACATATAATTTGAAGGTTTTTCACTGAAATATCCAGGCAATATGTTAAATTAGTTCATACTTAACACAACTAAGCTTGGATCTGTCCATTTGACCCATTACATTTATCAGAATTTAAAGCAAAAATTTAGTTACAACCCTTTCGCACCAAATCATTTTTGAAATTTTTGATTTTTTTGGTGCGAAAGGGTTGTAACTGAAACTTTATCAATTATTTCTTTATGCTGACAAAATAAAATAACATTTCCAATCAATTATATATCAGTAATTGAAATAAAGCAAAAAAGCAAAATTAAAGAAGAATATATTAGAATGTAAAAGAATAAATAAGTTTTTTGTCTCTCCTGAATAATTTCAAAATATTGAGTTACAACCCTTTCGCACCAAGGCATCGAAATGTGTTGTTGTTTTTTTGTTTTGTTTTCAACAAAAGTGTGTGTGTTTTAAGTTTATTTATACTCGGGGCCGGAATAACCATATGTCCGAGATTATAGCATCGGGGACGTCTTTTTCAAGCCGAATCTTCCTGGTAGCCCATTCTTCGTTCGTTGGTGGTAAAGGAGACGATAATACTGGCAAGGCATCAACTTCCTGACTGACGACAACAAAAACGGCATTCATTAGCGCCAAACCTCCAGAGTAAGTCACGACAGGTCAACCAATCACCTCTGGTACTTGAGATGACTTGACCTTGACCTGCCGTGTGCCTTCTCCGCGACGTGCACGCCTCTGGAGGGATTTGGAGAAGTTTCAACAAAAAACTTCCAAAACACGCTATTTATAAATTATAACACCATTCATAGCACTGACGCTTCGATGTTCTCATCTATTTGCGGGAAATGGTCGACAGGGAAAACCCTACGTAATAACCGCACACCCTGTTAACAATAGATTTTCCGCAGTTATATTTCAAGCTAGTGAGGTTTAAAAAATACATGTAGAATCTATCTATTAACTACCATAAGTTGGTTGAGTGTTGGCGGTAAAAAAAGAAGATATAACTTCCTGATCAATTTTCACTTAGGTTGATTCAATTTTGAATAAGCTTTGCAGATATGTATTTTTTCAAGAAATATTTAGTTTTAATAAATATCCGAAGCCGTCAAAGTCAGCGACGAGTAATGAAATGGGAATAATTTTCTGAAACGTGATTTTATTCCAGATTTGCTTCGGAAGAAGACATCTTTCTGTCCGTAGAGCATGGATATTAATACTCATCACAAGACAGTATCTTATTGATCTCAATTATGGTACATGACATGTAAATATGTATAATTTTTATGTTCAATAAAAATGTTGCATAACTTGCAGTTGTTATTATCATTCAATGATATTAAAATGACATAAAGTATTTATGATGAACAGTCCTAGAATATTTTGATAAGGAACAGTCAGTTGTAAAATGTTATTGTTATCTTATAATGAACAGTCGTCATACTTTCTGGTATGTCATTTATTATTGACAGTTTAGGTTTTTCAAAATGTGCAGGATTAGCAGTCCGAATGTAGACCTCAATGAAATGTTCTGGAATATTAACAAAATGAATAGTCAACCATATTAACCATATACATGAATGGTTGAACACAACAGTAAGGATAAATGACACAATGTGCATATCTTCTTATTTTTGTAATAATTGTAATAACAGCACATTTTAAGCAAAAAGAAAAGAAACTATAAGTCTGAAACATTCTGTCATAGCCTCCCCATCAGTACAGTCAGTGCTTTGATTATAAAGTGCCACCAATGCTTTCCAGTGTTTTAACTGTAGTAAATTGGCTATAAGACTAATTGCAACACTGATAGTCAATTCAATGTTTATTTGACTTAAAAATTAAAAAAACAATTGCCTCAGCTGGGATTTGAACTCCAGACCACTCCATTCATAAGTGAGCATGCAAACCCCTCGGCCACGGTGTAGTTATATGTTATCGGCCTGAAGAAAATCATATTATTATAATTTAGGGTTTGTAACTCTTATTATTTCGACGCTAACAGGTGTAAATAATCATAGAGCTTACTGTAAGCATGTATATCTATAAAGAATGAAACAATATTAGAAATCTTCGGCCATTCGGGAAGTACTTTGCTTGAAAATTAATGCGTATGTCATTTGACAATCTTTACGCATTGATCTCCCCTGAACTTTTCGGCGTTAGTGTGCATATAAAGGGAAGTAACCGCTTCAAAAAAGTGGACTCTCTAGGCATTTGCAATTAACAGCATTAGACTCTGAAATTTCGCTACCATTATTTGTTTGGTCTGACGACCCAAACAAATAAAAATCATTCGGACGATTATCGATTAGTGAAAAAAGCCGCGACAACAACAAAATTATAATTTAAAAAATTGTGTTTTAAATTTGTTGATGTCTATATGCCAATATACCTACTTTTTACTACCAATACCGTATCCTACAATTATCATTATTTTATTCATGTACACAGTCAATCAAGAATGAGTTACTAAATAACGTAAATCCCGCAAAGTTGGTGGTTTAACAAATTTTGCTTGGTTGTTGTTTGTGTTGTTGATTCTACGACAACATTTTAGTCTCTGATTATGAGTTGAACAGTAGCAGTTTCCTCGTGATTGCCGTCCATCCCACTACCGTGACACGTGTAATTTCCCTGGTCATTTTCACTTATCAGCTTTATTTTTAACTGAAGAAGCTTCACCGGAATTTCATCCGCCCACTGATTCTCTTCTAACTTTAATTAAATGTAATAAAAGAATAAACAAAACAAATCATTTCGTGATAAATGATATCAGGATTTAAGTGCACGCTTTTATAATGAAAAGTATAAGAATTTCTGAAAATAATAATGCAGCATGGTTTAAGTTTGTGCTTTGAAATTAATAATTTTATTTAATGAACGCTTAGATAAGAAGGTAGCCATTAAAACATTCTATTTCTTCTTCCTTTGTTTACAAATAAATATTATTCACCTCATAGATGTGACTTGTATTAATATTAATTTTCTTTCCTTCGAATTTCCAATACGCTTTACTCATTGGCGAAGCCTGAACAATGCATCTCATTATTACATTTTCATGTTCTGTAGCACGAATAAGTGACGTCACCACGGACACTTCCGGTCCGACTGCAGGAAATTTATAATTGGTATGCAATAAAGTTAGATACTTAATAAAGAAATGTAGAAGAGAAGGCAAATAAAAAAAGAACATTGCAATGCAAGTTACATGATTATGACCTTTACATGCATTGTCTTTTATTTTCCACATATCTAAATGTTGAACACTCATAAAAGTAAAGTGGATAGGTTTTATAACTTTCATAAGTATTTCAAATATTGATAAAAACAGTAGAATTGTATCATTTGGATATTCCTAAAAATGTTTCTTGAAAATAAGTTGATCAAGTTCTAAATAATTTGGAACACGTGGAAGGAACATTTACATGTGACGAATGATAATAGTATGTTTTAGTGCTATGTAAGTACATGTATATTTATATTGGATCATGTGTCTCACACTTACCAACAACTTTCATGTATATTTTTTTCGTGGTTTATTGCAATGCCTAATACTAAATACTATCGACTTGATTATTAATTGTATTACAGACCTTCCTTTATAGACGCACTTATTCTGTAATGCAGGATCCAGCGTGTTTTATAACACATATGACGTCACGTCAAAATATATGCATGCATGCGTTCTATACAGGACTAAAAATATGAAAGTATATGCATGTCCTTACATTCAACTGTTAAGTACATGTGTCTATCAGCGGATCCGTGTTTGTTTGAAGCAGAGCACTTGTAATTAGCCTGACTATACCTCGTCACATTCCGGATAATTAACTTGGACCGTTCTAGACCCTCGATAACTGAAAAAATCATAAACAAATATTAGAATTAGGTTTTTTTTTTCCCCGAACGAAGTCCGTCTGTTATCGGTTTGTGTTCCTATAAAATTAACAGGGAATGACTGAATATAAGACGAATTTTCATTGCTCATTTTAAAATTACAACTGAAATCGGTGAATTTAATTGATTATTCTAAAATAAAATGTAAAAGACTGTTCTTAACATTCTTAAAAATAAGGGATAGTTTCTACTATTCTAAAATAAAATTTCCATAGCTCTATGATAACATGTAAGGGATAATTTGTCACTATAAAATAAAATGTAAAGGAATGAGGATAGTTTAACTTTTAGGTTTATTTGTCAAAGATTACAAAATATATAAAGTCAAATGAGAACACCTTAAATAGATGTTGTTCTTCTTTGAAAAATCATCAATGTCAATATGCTATAATTTAGTTCTATGTTTACAAATGGGTATTTTCTTAACAGCTACAAGAAATAATTATCATGTGATTGTTATGTAAGCATTGCTAATATTTATTTTTTTTTTTTGTATTGAAAACTTAAAAATAAGATATTTTTGCATATTAAACAGTTATACTTCGGCCGATATCTTTGTAAAAGATATTTCTAGTTTTTAGTGAATGTATGAAAATCCAATTAGTAAAAGAGGTTGTTTTCGTTGTTGCTTATTTACGCATTTAGCTACTTTAATCGGCATTTCTTTTTTTAAAAGGACAGCTCAAAACAGGTGATTAAATAAAATAAAATTCTTGAATAGCTTATTTCGATTCATTAATGAAAACAAAATTGTTTGTAAATGACAATTATTTAAATTATTATTAAAAAAGTATGATCAGTACCTATGCTTGATATTAATAAATTAAAGCACTGAACGTGCAGGTTGTGGAAAGCCCCGAGAACTTTATGCAAATATTTAAGTAAACAAGTATACCCAGTGTCTTAGGTTACAATTTTCCCTTGAGTCATACCAACAGTAAATATAATAAAAAAACGAAGAATTAAAGAGGATTTTGGTCGTTTCTGGTATGAATTTTAAATAAGGATATATTTATCTCCAATTTAGTTTCTTGAAATTTAACCAGCTTTAAAGAAATAATTCATTATTGAATGATCAAAGTTTTAATATTTTTAAGCATGTTAAAATGAGTTGTTTTTTTTTGTTCCACAGAGGACAGCTCTGCAGCCGTTGCACTTTAAGACAAGAAGGAGAAAAAATAAGAAAAAATATAGTTTTCATATTCAAATGTCAAATATAGATTGGGCTCAATAAAATGAGTCGCTCATTTCAACCACATGCCTTTTATAAGAAATAAGGAAACAAAACAAAGTATTATTTTAGTTGGTTTAGAAAAACTTTTGCGCTTACGCAACCTACTTTATATAAGATTTTTATTAGAATACATTACTCATTTCAGATATAGTTGTATAAATTATGTCCTATATATACTTACTCTCCATGGGTCTTCCGCGGTACCATTTTATTACTGGTGCCGGTGACCCGTCAAACACGCAGTTAAGTTCGGCATCTTCACCCTCCTTAAACTTTGAGTTTGAGCTTGAAGAGTTTCTTCTATCAAGTGTTGGTTTACCTGAAAGTTGCCCGACTTACTTATTTAAAAAAATAAAGATTTACTTTCTGTGAAATATATCAAATGTAGCGTCAATGACTATCTCTTTGAAGCTTTACACTGTTGATTAAAGTTGTTTAGCTTTAAGTTTGATCTTTGGTCTAATGTTATACATGTATAGTTAAGAGTGATGCGTTTTCAATTTTAATGCTTACAATATCAGTGAAATTAACAATGGGCAGATCTGAAAGAACATTTTACAAATTCAGCTCACTTTCTAAAGAAACACTTTTCTAAGGTTTTGGACTGGAAACAAAAAAGTAACATTCTACATGAAATAGAGGATAAATACAATGGATGGTCCAGAGTCAACCAGAATTGCGCATCATTTAACAAAAGTTATTATTTCAAACCTTAATGAATACGTAATACCGTGTATCTTATTACAGGAAAACAGCAAAATAACACATAATGACTAGCATGTATATTTCTAAGTAAACTTAGTAACGCGCATATCGTTGTGTTCTTCTTTTAAGGTTTTGAAAGTATTTGTCGCTGTACACAGTACAAGGCTCACGGTAGGGAACGCGTTTCAGTATCGCGCTTTGTGGTTACGGTATAAAATATTCAAGATGGCGGACGATTCGCAGTCAGAGAGGTCGGTGAATTTTATTACAGCATAAACTATCGAGCAGTCCGATTTCTAAACGATATTTTTTGTTTTGCTCGAAAGGAAATGAACCTGGCATAGAATAATGTTTTTCCTCAGACTCTGCACCGAATAATTTCACTTTATCGGCATGTAAATATGAATATTTGACAATCGAGAATTTCTCCGCCACATATCGAGTTAAAGCGCACATCCGGAGCAGCGGAAAATCACATATATTTTTTACCGATGTTCTATTTAATATACATATGGGGTCCCATCCCGTTGATAGAGTTGTTTTCCGGACGCTAATGTTGTAACTACAAATCACTGAAACATGTTTTCGCAAGGATCTAGCATTCAAATGACGTTCGACATTTGTTCGTGTTCCAGTTATCCTTGTTGTATCGGGCTTTAGACTTATAAGACATTCTGAGTAATTCTGGACTATCCCTCGTACACCTGGAAACGTATTTCTTATTCAGTAAACTTACCTTCAATAACAACTATAACCACGGAGAGCGTCAGTGTTTCATTACATATTTTTGCTTCGCATTTGTATGTCCCAGCAAAATTTCTGGTTACATTTTTGTTACGAAGGTCCCATGTGTTATATGCAGATTTCTCAACTCCTAAATATGTCGAATCCGGATTCATTATAGTTTTACCTTGTGTAAGATATTCTTTGTTACTGTTCAACCATGAGACCTATGATGGAATAATCCTAAAATTACAATTATTATCGTCATAATTTATTCAGAATAAAGAAAAAACGAATGTCTTTTTTCTAAGTAGAAAAAAGTTTCCGATACACTTGTTAACTATCACAATTTGTTTGTTAATTAATCCTGCATTTTATTTTATTTATTCGCCTGTGATTGGTCTTTTTGTTGTTGTTGTTGTTATTTTTGGTAATTTATTTAGATCTATTCATTTTCTATTTTTTTTGTAATATATAACATTTTACATTGGCTAATATCTCACTTACAGAAGCATTCTTTTGATATGGTCCATTTTGCAGGGAAGTATACAAGACGTGCCCAAGACACAAGGTATGGTATAACTTGAATAAGCAAATCTCTGTCCAACTTGAGCTGAAAAATAATAAAATATTTTTGAAGAGCAATGATGAGTGTTTTTTCTCCCTTCTTTCTATAAACGCCTGTTTGTTCTCTAAACCATGTGCGTTAAGAATTCTCGAAATCATTATTCACACCGTAAATACCGATTCATTCTTTAGAGGCCGAGTAACCTACATGCTACCAACGTTGGTAGCATGTAGGTTACTCGGCCTCTAAAGAATGAATCGGTATTTACGGTGTGAATAATGATTTCGAGAATGCGCGCAACATCAATCAATTTGCCTTTGAGAACATGTGAGACTTGATCTCGGGTACTAAATACTAATCTGTCTCTTTATAAAACTTACAATTGAGTAAACGAAAATATAGTAACCAGCATCAGATAAGGGGAATCCGTGCATCGGTTATTACAGACAATACAGTCCAAAGTATATGATTTATTGCCATTAAAAGCACATGTATCATTATAAGTAAGCTTAAAATTATTTAATTCAACTTGTATCATTTCTTGTGAGCACAGGTGATAGATGCAGTAAGAATATTAAACATATTGTAGAATAAAAATGCACACTATCGAAACACGTGTTCAATTCAAAAATAATAATTATTTAGTCAAAACAAAAGCGTACCTGAAACTATTATAACAAGTATTCCAATCACGCAAAAACGCCCCATTTTCATCCGTGAGTTAAACAGGAATGACTAAGTTGGAAAAAAAAACTTATAAAAATTCTTGAAATCATCATTCATGGTCCAATTTCGTTTTATTTCTGCAACATATGACACATCTTCAATTACATTAACCGGATAATATTTATTTCCATGTTAATTCAGCTGTACTGATTTCTTTTATATGAATGCATATAAGGAAGTTTTCATTTTTGTTTCATAATCAACGTACAAAGTACAAGATCGTGGCAAATATTCCAATTAAGGAAGTTAATTTGGCGAAGTTTTGATTTAGAGACAATTACTGCTTTGATCCACTTTTTATTTTAAAGTGTATATTAGAAAAGCTATTTCTCTGATGCCTGCAGTTTACAATATTTTATTTGAATTAAAAAAAAGAAGAGAAATATAAACTGTTCCAACATGTTATGAAATAATTCTTTTTAACCGAATGGAGCATAAACGAAATCATTGTTGAACGGTTAAAATCCTACTTAAAAAAAAAATTGATATTTTGTTCAAGACCATTTTTTTCTGTTTATGTTAAGCCTTTATGAGTTTTGAATAACCCATTAACAAGTAATTAATAAAGTAACAATTTAGGTCATATGGGGCCGAAACAAAAAAAGATGATTTTGACTTATCTCGGGTGTTGCAAACTTTAATTCAATTGAGCAATGGATAAATATCTGGAAAAATTGACCCCTCAACAGCAACATTACATGAAAACTGCAGAGTCGGTTTGATCGAGTCTATACATGAGACAAGGGGGTCATACCATCCGCGCGCATTCTCAAAATTTTGATACCGCGAACATTTTTTCAACCGGTACTTAGAACAAAAACGAGGCATGTAAAGCAATCAGAATAGATTTAAATTTAATTTCTTTTGCAAAGAAGATGTCCTTACTTATAGATTTAATATTCCAAATGCTCCAAATGCCTTGACACAATTCTTCCTTTTCTTGTCAGTATTTCGCGTTGAATGCGATTTTTGATTTTGGATACGGCGTACACCCGGCGTTGAAATGTTACAGAAATTGAGAAATTGTCGATTAAACTGAAAGTTTCACACAGCTTGAAGGTTTTTTTTTTATTGTAGAACCTGTTTCATAAATATATTTTCAATCTTTGTTATAATTCCTTTGTACGAAAAATGTCTTAAAACGATCTTTTTGTAGAAAATATAATTATGATGCTGCGTACTCTCTCGAAAAAATCAAGATACTGCGTACACATTTATGTGTTATTGATTCTGCCTACACTTTCTTCGAAGCAGTCTAAATTCATAGTGGGATCAAATTGACAACACAGGCGAACAAAAAAAAATAAAATAATAAAAAGACAATTAAAAACGTCAAGGGAATCAATATTGTCGTACACTTCAGAAATTGAAGAATCCATCTTGCATATCACACTTTGGGAAAAATGTCTTGTTGTAATGTTGAAAATATCGTTTGTTCTTTTTTTTCATTAATTAAAGATTCTGAATTTGAAATGTGATCTTTATATATTATTTGATCCAAACACAAAACCTTTCAAGAAGTTTTTAATTTTATGGCGATATCAATTTTGGGAGATACAACCATCTGTATTCCATTATTGCGGCTTTCAGTTTTTTTGTCTTTTTCATGTTCGCGTTGTGATTTTTGAGCTGACTGTTTCATGTAAACGATGTTCCAAATCTTTTTCTTCAAGAATTTCTTTATGTTTTTTTCAATGAACGCATGTTCGTGTCTTTCTATTTCTTTTGGAAAATGTAGCCACGATTTCTCGATTCATAAAACAAACGGTCGTGAATTTGACTATTAGTCGCACTCCCAAAATGAACTGAGAGATAAAAGCAAAAGTCTTATCAATCTTGTGAATTTTTAGTATTAACGTAAAATCCTGAGAAAATCATTAATAAAACATGAACATATAAATGTAAGGCTTTAATCAATGATAAATTGTTATCGAATCTCTTTTTGCAAGATATTCAACAAATGCATTATGAACTATTCACCTGTGATAAAGTATGTTCCCTTTAAAATGTACATCCTATAAAGGTTTGAGTTTAATATTTTCATTAAAATCTGTTTATTTAGCTCATTTATGTAACACTCTATACTGATAATTCCTCGTACACTGCATAACTTACTTTTATAGTCAAATGTATAGCTCATTTAAGAAAATTATGTCCAAAACAATATGAAGGACGACGCCGGCATGGAATCTTTGTATAGGCATGTTGCTTTTTTTTCGGAGTATATATATCAAGCTTCATATCTCTGAACGCAAGTTTGAATGCCAATTGTGGAAAATGAAAATTAAATGAGTAATATTGCCCATACATTTTGTATTAACGACCTCTTATTTAGGAGTTCCCAGTGCTTTTTAATATGCATTAAGCAAACTTCGTGCAAACTTATAACGATTATTTATCAAAAATAAACTATTCCAACTAATGGTTTAGGAAGCGTATATGGTAGCAATACGGAAGCTTTAAAAGGGTCACCTCATACGCGATCTTTTTGTGGGAAAGATTTACGCAAGCGAAAAAATATAAAGGCGCGCGAAGGCATGATATTTTTTAGTGTTTCTCAAAAAACTAAGTCGAATAAACGGAGAAAAGTTTGAGTAATTGGCAAATGTTTTTCTTGCAAAAACAGAAACATGGCACATGACGAGTTACTTTTTTTGACGAGAAATTAATAAAAAAGTTGTTTTTCCGGAAAAAAAAAAAATAGGGACGGCAATGCGTGTACAAATTTCATTTTCTTGCCAATAAAAATTAATGATGCAAATACTTAAATAATTACACCTTCTTCGAAAAAAATTGATGCATTACCCCTTTAAAAAATTTCATTTTTGATGAAAAAATGTTTTACAAAAATTGCCTTTAAAGGTCATCCGCATTTTGTTATATTTTTTTTGTCGAACACGGTCTTTTACCTTTTCCCAACACTCGGTGGGCGTATTTCGTAAAACATGATTTTTTTCATAAAAATATCACTGTGATAAATTCAGGCCTATTAATTTTAATACAGGAGGGCAGCAATTTATTGGCGGCCATTTAGAAATTTTTAACATGTATTTGGTTTGTTAATTTTTATCTTATTATTATTTTAATCTATTAATCAACTAGCAGTAAGTATAGTAAGGCGGCAATTAGTTTGTAGCAAATTAAGAATAGATTTTGCAAGCAAAAGCAGCAAGCTTGTTTTTCTGTAGCAGGGTAGTAGTAGCAGTCGTAGTAGGTTACACGCGCTTTAATAGATTCAACTTATTCCAGCTTTTTCATGGTTTAGGTTAATTTATTATAGTCTGTGGATTTTACAGTTTTTTGTCTGTCCGTTGTCTAAAAACCCAAAATTTTTCCGGGGGACCCTTCTTAGCGCTTTTTCATTTTTGCTTTTTATTTTTTACCCAGGGAAATTTGTTTCTAAATGTTTAAACTAATTTCAAAGGTAGAAAAATGGGGTATTTTTGGATTTGGAAAGTTTTTCTGCAATGCCACAGTTTTGACAATAAGGCAAAAAAAAGGTCAAAAAAATTTAACCCCATAAATTTTTGGCAACCACATAACTAAATTTTTACCATTATTGCCTCTTAGGTGTACTGAAAAATACTATTAAAACCCCAAATAGGAATCTGGGAAGACATGTTAAACTTTGGTTTATTGGGTTGCTTTTTTACTTTTCTAAAAGTAATTTCTGGCCCATTAAAAAGTTGGTCAAAAATGGCTTCAAAAATAATTTTTTTTGAGGTTCTAGTCACTCTAAATGGGGTTTTTTTTTTCCACCCCACCTTTTCAAATGGGCCCAAAATTTTTTTATTTTAGTCCTAGGAATAGGGAAAAAAAAAAACAGGTGATTTGGTTCAATAAAAAGGGGACAAAGGGGGCCCCTTAACCTTTTACCCCAAAAAGGAAAATTTGGGTTAAAAAAAAAACCGCTTAATTTAAAAAGGGCCCCCTGTTTTCCAAAATTTCCCAAAAAATGCTTGGGAAAAATATTTTAAAAAAGCTTTAAAACTGATGAAAAATTTGGGGACCCCCATTTTGGTAGACCAAAAGCTTCTTAAAAAAGCATGGAAAAAAAAAATGAAAAATTTTCCCCCATTGTTTTTGGGAATTTTTTTTAAAAATTAAATTTTAAAATTTTCCCAAAAAATTTAAAAAAAGTTCATTTCTTTAATTCTAAATTTTAAAAAATTTAAAAAAAAAAAATTTTTTAAAAATGCAAAACTACGAGGACAAAAAAGAGGGGTTTAAAAAA